CAGTTACTTTCTGAATTGTACGCAGGGACAATTGAAGAGACACTCCCATTTATCAAAAATCAATGTTTCTTTTAATTAAAGGGGCTTAGGAAAAACAAAAAGCACTTTCCCTGTATTGTTAGCAGTTGTCCTTCATTGGACAATACCAGGTTTCCATTAGCTTTGTGTAATTCCAGAGTCCAATAACCACTGTCAAATGCTGAAGATGTAACCTCATAAGTCTGATTTAGAACAGCTATTTAGATCTCAATTATTAATGAAATTAGTGTCCTGAATGTCAGCAAGAGCACTGCCTTAGGTAAAGGCTGTAAAGGAAATCATATTAGTGTGGAATTTCCTCTCCTTAGGGGCTCCTCTTAGATTACATTATTCACTTAGCTATCTCCCGTCAGGGAAATTGAAATGTTGGCCATGATCTGAGACTGGGGCAGAACCAAATGGAGAAGTTAAGGGGTATCTCAATGGCATCGATTCCAAAACATTTGCCTGGTGCCGGCGTTGCCATTGGTCCGGTTTAATGTTTACAAAATAGCACCAGCACGGACAGCAGACACTGGCCAAGACAGAAGAATGGAGTGAAGAGGAGGCCCTTTAGGAAAAATTGAGTGCAGCCCATCCAATAGGCAAGTTTGCATGTCTCCTCTTTGGGCCGAGCCCGAGAACACTGGCAGGTGCCATGGCTTTCCTGTGGCTCTTCATCCTGGTGGCTGCCTCAGGTGGGTCCTTTTAATGATTTAACTTTCAGCCCGGAATATTAACTTTCAAAAGCTAGAGACAGTATTTTTCTACCTGGTGCTGTATAACTCCTTACAAGTGTTCGTTTTTACTTAGCATCTGTAAAGCACCAGTCCTGCAAAGCGACGTGGAGCCCGGTGATTTGTTATGTCTTTGCTCCTACAATTACAGATCTGTAAATACAAACGGAGTCACACAGTGGGGCTCTTGACACACAGCTGAAAATATGCTGGAAATGTTATAGCTGTTTGATAAAGCTTCTCCAGAAATCAAGCTCTCTTTGTGGCAATTTACATCGAGAGTTTAGGGCATTCCTTATTCAGATTTGCTTTTGTGTCTGAATAATAGATTTTTATTATCCCAAACAGTCTTGGCTTCGTTATAAGCTTTTGGTAGCCCAGAGAGTTTCCTGGATACAGCTTGTCTGAAGACACCTGCGTATTGTTTTGGTATTACAGGTCTCACCCAGCCATGCAAAGTCTGTGTAGGTGATGAATATATCTCCAGAGACAACTACTAGAAACTTGTATGTTTTTAATGTACATTTCCCCTTAAGATACTTTAAAAATTAATATAGCCTTCTGAATTTCTAGAACTAAGTTTTTGTGGTATGAGTATTAACTCCACTGAATTGGGCCATTTGTGTTAAGATCCAATAGATTCTTAAAAAAACACACACACAGATCAAGAATATATGTTGATGCTGGTGTTCCCCCAGTACCCCCACTTTCTTGAGGGGTGTCCTCGAGCTCATATCTCAGAGTTTCCATGTTTTAAAATATAACTGGAAGTGGAATGAGTCAATTACTGAGATGAGGCAGGAATTTGGTAGCCCAGCAGCTGGAAATGATTTTTTTATTGGGTAGAGAAGAAAAATAGCCACTTATCATTAAAATAGGAGAATCCTGAATGTTGGACTTAAAGGATAAAAGCATATCTTAATTATAAAAATGAAAACAGGAAATTTCATTAAATGCCAAATGGGTTTCTTAGCAGAAAATAATTGTGAACATTAAGCTAAGTAAGATAAAATAGAAAAATAAAAGGTAAGGAAAAGAAAGAAAATCTTCTTAATGTCTATTTCTAATGTTTTGTATTATGCTTGATTTTTGTTCTAAATGTGACAGAAAGTGTGCTTTAATGGTGTCTAGTAATCAGTGCTTGACCATAAATTATACTGGAGACATGTGTTGCAGAAAAAGCTGCCCTTTGGAATTTTTGCTGGGTTATTATCAAGATGACTTGTAAATACAAGAGCAGTAAACCAACCACCAATTTAAGGCCACTGCCTGATGGCAGTGTCCTGGGCAAGAGCCTAGATTAAGAGACCTGTTTAGTTCCTACTGCACTACTCACCAGCCATGTGACCCTGAACAAGCCAATTAATCTATTAGAGATTGAGTTTTCCTGTAAGTTAAATGCTTATTTTGTATATTGTGGTGATCAAATAAGATAGCATTGTGAAATTGTAAGGTGCAATGCTAATAGAAGATATTTTTGACCCAAAAACACACATACACAGAAAATAACAGTAGGCTGTTTCTGCCCAGTGATGTACACCATGCAACATGTCGGTTTCCTTTTGGAGGGCCACTCACTTCCATCCCTAATATTCTCAGGGAGCCAGCTCAGTGTAATGTCACAGTAAGGAGCTTGGGCTTTGGATCCAGTCCAGCCTCTTCATTTGCAAGCTGTAGGACTTTGGGTGGTCCTAAGCTCACTAAGCCTCTAGTCTGTCACCTGTAGTGAGGTGGACTCCTCATGGGGCTGAAGAGTACCTGTCTCATAAGGCTGTTGTAAAAGCCAAAGGAGTCGTTCGTGTAAAATGCCCTAAGCCCAGTGCCTGACACGCAGCATGTATTCAGCCAGATTTGGGAATTCAGTAGACCACACCCCTAAATCTCATTCCTCCTGCAATTTCTCAGATGTGTGTGTAACTCTTTTATACTCCCAAAGCTGACATACTAAGTGAGAACAGCTCTTTTCATCACAGTGCCCAGAACTCTTTAAGATAGAATTCGTCAAAGCAAGGAAAACAAAGGAAAAATTCTATTGTATTCTTATCTTTAAAAAAAAAAAATCTCTGCCCCTAAAAGTGCTTTATAGCTCAGTCCCTGACACATTCCACTTTCTAGAAATCTTACAAGTGAATTATTTGGAGCCAATTATTAGCATCCATAGAGGCCGCGTTAACGAGGAATCTTCCCTGGGTCTGTGGATAGCTTCCATCAGTGTCTGTTGAAACATCACTGAACTGTGAGTCATTTAGTGCTTGTGTGAATGTCACATTAGCTTTCAAGGGGCATAATTTACTGTTAATTAATGGTCACTTAAATCCGTAATCTCTCTCCTGTAATTGATCTTTCTCCTCAGGCAAATTTGCATTCATAGTAGAAATGTAATTTATTATTTCTTCCCATTTTAAACAAAGAACTCTTTACCCTTATAGTTTATTTAAGCATACTTTCATTTCCTTCTTATTTTTCCTCCTATTGTTGCTCGTTTCTCTGTTGTTCCTAGTTCTAGATTCTAGAACTTTCTCTTTTTACCCAAAGGCTTTGACACGTCCTGGAAAATATGTTTATCCATAGGAGACGTATGGATTGTTTCCTAGAAAAGACAGCAGAAGGGAATTTGAGTCTTAATAGCAGAGGGTATAGGGAAAACACATTCATTTCCCAGAATTCTGTTTTAATTCTGTCTCAGATAGTTTCCTGTATCGAAACATGCACATTTCAGTGTTTCCCCAACTGGGACTTGAATTGGGAGCTTCCAAGCGAGGTGAAAGTGAAGTTGCCCAGAGCGAAGTTCACAGGAAAAGCGCCAGACCGGCTTCGCTTTGTGCCCCTGACTTCCCTCCCCTGGGGTACACCAGCAAGAAATGGTCTCAGGTAGAGAGAGTCACAGCACATTTTTTTCACAATCACGGTTCACAAAAACCCTGAAAATGATGCTCGATGCATGCCACCTACCTTGGTCCTCCACGCCTGAATAGCAGATGCCATTTGGGGCATCTCCGTGGGTGAATAGTTAGGGAGTTAGAATGCTCGTTAGCTTCGCAGTTCTGGTGGTCATGAGAGTGAATATTCCACTGCCCACAGTGACTCTGCATTGCACCCCCGGCATCGTCGTTAGCATTTTGGTCACAGTGACACTGATAAATCATGGAAATTGCCGTCTGTGGCGGCAGGTGACACGACATCATTCATAAAGAAATGGGTATAAACAGGACTGTCACACAGGGAGAAGATATCTCATTTACAGTCTCCTGCCGGATCCCGCATACCTTGAGCAGCTCATCAAAATAACTGTCAAAACCACTGAGAGGTGAGGTGAATTCACGCTCAGGACACTACAGATAGATTTCACTCACGCACTGTGGCAGGAGGCGTGCAATTTGCTCCAGTCCAATGACTTAGCGAAGCTTTGAATCCCCCAGGAGGTGGCAAAGCTTGTGAGCAAAATATCTTTCTCAATTCAGAGGAAGCCTTCACAAATTTGTCACTTCCAATTGTTGGTGCTCATTTCTCTTGCTTCTTTTCCTCTGGCCTCCCCTGCCTCAACACCAGTCACTGCTCCTCTACAAATCAGGATTCCCAGGCCATAAAGAATGGTTGTTCTCTGGAAACAGAAAGAATTTTCCCAAAACGAAGATCTCATTTTCTGACAAGTGTGTTTTATTTAAAGACAGTTGAGTGAGAAAAGAGGGTTTTTTTTTTTTATTGTTGTTGTTTTTAGGAGAAAAGTATGAATTGGAATCTTGTTAATCCCATTACGTAGGAATTTTTGGGTTTACTGGTTTGTCCGTGTTTCTGCGTGAATTTCCTATTTAACTGTTGAATTACAAATGAAAAACATTAAAGTCAAGGAGGAGATCACTTTTGATTAAGTGTATGGGAAGGTTTGTTTTGTTTTGTTTTTTCCCTGTGTTTTAGAAGGGGGTGATACTGGAAGACAGGATTCTGTCTCCAAGATGCATGAATGCTGTGAAAATAGAATTGTAGGTGCGGTTTGGATCCTTGGAGATCCGAGTTGACTTACTGAGCATTACAATGAGCTGTCTTTATTGGGCAGTCAGGTCATCAGCTTACTTTAAAGTAAGCGTCTGCCAAAGAGCCCACTGGCTGACTGTGAACTTCAGGAAATTGGGGTAAGCTGAAAACCGTATTCTGCCAGGACCCACCAAATCCTCAACGGTCAGAGATCCCCTTGAGATGCTAAGCTCCTCTTATTTTCCTCCTCATGATGCCAGTTTTGTTTTTCAGAAACCCTAGCCATGGACATGCCTCATCCCACGAACCCTGCTCTGTATCGTCTCACCAAGCACCTGCTACAGAAATATCACAAGGCAGTGAGGCCAGTTCACGACTGGACTGAGGCCACCACGGTGTATCTGGATGTGCTTGTCCACGCCGTTTTGGATGTGGTGAGCACCATCTTACCCCTACCGATCCCAGTTACCTGTTTGTAACAGCACCTACTGTTTACATGGGAGCCTGGTTGAGCTGGTAGGGAAGTTGACCTGGACTCGTGTTAGCAGTGAGCAGTGAGCATGAGGTAAAACACTTACTAGGCAAACCATGCTTTCTAGTCCCCGACTTGCAATGTGAGAAGCAGAGCAACTAGAAATAGGAGTTTCATGGAATTAAGAGGTTTTAAAAATTGTGGTCACAGACCACTGTACATATTTTATGAGTTTGCTGAAACCAAAAAAAAAAAAAAAAGGTATTTTTTTTTTTTTCCCCTATAGCTCACATTTCTTAGGGACAAGTAGTAAATTTCAGAAAAACATCTACCACTTATTACCTGAAATTGAGAAAAAGAGAAAAACGTGTTCTGGTACTTTGAGTTTATACCCAAGGTGTTTACTAAGGGTGGTGAGGGAAGATTTGCTTATATAGCTATCTTCTATATCTAGAAAGTGGGTTGTTGTGGGAATTAAATGAGAGAATACATGGAAACCAGTTACCAGAGGTCTTAGTAGGTCCTCCATAAATGATGGCTTATCCTTGCTTCCTCTTTCTCCTCTTTTCTTAATCACAAAGTCTTCAGTATCAATAGGTCCCAGATTTATATTGATTTTTCTTAAGAGCAGACTTTACTGAACTTGTTTGTTAATGTAGTTTAATATCTTTTTTCAATTTACTTCTCAAAACTTGTTTTTCTAATTGAGGTATACACGTGTTGAAACGCACAGATCTTAGGTATACAGTCTAATGAGTTTTGGTAACTGGATGCATGCACAGAATCCATACCCCTATCAATATAACAAATATTTCCATCACCCCAGGAAGACCCCTCATTGACTTCTCAGCCAATCCCCATCTCTCCATCCACAGAGACAATCACTGTTCCCATTACTTTCATCATAGATTATTTTTGCCGTTTCTAGAATTTCATATGAATGAAATGTTATTGTGTGTCCTCTACTGTGTCTGGATTTTTCATGTTTTTGAGGTTCACTCATGTTGGGTTTACCAGTAGTTTTTCTTTTTTATTGGTGAATAGTATTTGGTTATGGTTATACCATGATTTGTTTATATCCATTCTTTCTTTTTTCTTAAGGAGAGAGCACAAGAGCGTATGGTCAGGGGGTTGGGCGTGGGTGGAGAGGCGGAGGGAGAGGGAAAGAGAGAATCTTAAGCAGGCTCCATGCCCCGCACAGAGCCCAACACGGGGCTCAGTCTCCCAACCCTGAAATCATGACCTCAGCTGAAATTAAGAGTTGGACACTCAACCTACTGAGCCACCCAGGTACCCCTGTTCATCCATTCATATGCTGATAGACATTTGGGTTGTTTCCAGTGTTGGGATATTATTAATAACACTGCTATACAAGCCTTTTTATGTACATGTTTTTATTTCTTAGGTAAAACCTAGAAGTGGAAGAATTGGCTCAGACAGGTGTACCCTTATTGAGAATCTGCAAGGCTAATTTACAAAGTCGTTGTGTATTTTACACTCCCATGAGTCAGATAGTCGAGTTCCCATTGCTCCCCATTCTCATCGGTATTTGGTGTTATCAGTCTTATTTTTAGCCATTCTGTTGAGGGTATAATGGTATTTCACTAAGGTTTTACTTTAAATTTCTCTGATGGCTTGTGACCAGGAATTCTCTTCCATGTGCCTTTTGGCTACTTACATATCTTTCTTTGTGAAGTAGCTTTTTAAGTCTTTTCCTTTTTTTTTTCCCTTTTAAATTATGTTGTTGGTCTTTTTGTTATAGACTTATAGGCATTGTTTATATATTGTCATACTTATACATTGCAAATACTTATTACCAATCTCTGACTTGTCTGCTCATTCTCTTAAAGGGTCTTATGGTGACCAGAGATCTTAAAGTTTAACGAGGTCCATTGTAAATCAATTATTTAGTTGTGGTTAGTGCTTTCTGGGTACTAAGACACCTTCAATACTTCCAAGTTCACAGACATATTTTCCTGTATTTTCTGTCAGAAGATTTATAGTTCTTAGTTTCTTAGATTTCGTCCTAGGATCTATTAAGAATTAATCTTTGTGATGGTGTGAGGCACGGGTCAAAGTTTTTGTTGTTTTTGTGTGTTGTTCCAGTTTGGTTTTTTGCATTCAGACAGGAGTTGAAAAGGCTTTTCTCTCACCATTGATTTGCTTGGTGCCTTGGTTGAAAATTAGATTGACTGATAAGTGTTGGGCTATTTCTCTTGAAATCAGGCAATGTGAGTCCTTTCCATTTCTACATCAATTTTATAATTACCTTGTCAGCTTCTTTAAAAAAAAAAAAACTGCTGGGAGTTTTTTTAGGATAGTGTGGGATCTGCAGAGTAATTTAGGGGAGAATTGACATCTTAATAAATATTCCAGTTTTTAAATATGTTCTCTCTATTTATTTGGGTCTTCAGCACTGTTTTATAATTTCCAATGTAGAAGCTTTACGTATATTTCTATTAAACGTATCCCAAAGTATTTTTGCTGCTATAAATATTACTTGAAAATTTTTATTTTCTATTTGTTATTGTTATAGATAAATATTAATTTTGCATGTTGACTTTGTATACTGTGGTCTTGCTAAATTCACTTGTTAATTTTGGTAGTTTTTTGGTAGATCAGTATTGTCTACATATACAATCATGTCATCTGCAGATAGTTTTACTTCTTCCTTTCTAATCTGTGTATACTCTTTATTTTTTCATTGTCATGTTGTATTGCCTAAGACCGCTCCTACAATTTAACAGAAATAGTGAGAGTAGAGACATCCTTGTTTATTCCCATTCTTAGGGGAAATTTTTTCACCATTAAGTATGATGTCAGTTATAGCTTTTTTATCAATGTTCTTTATAAGGTTGAGGAAGTTCCTTCTTATCTATTGTACACTAAGAGTTTTATTTTGTTTTTTTAAATCATGAAAGAATATTGAATTACATCTAATGTTTTTTCTCCATCTATTTGGATGATCAGATAATTCTTCTGTTTTATGCAGTTAAAAGAGTGAATTATTTTGATTGTTTTTTCAAAAGTTAAAATGTCCTTGTATTCCTAAGATAAACTCCATTTAATCTTAATATATTATCCTTTTTATATATTTCTGGATTTAAATACCTACTTAATATAGATTGCATCTATGTTAATGAAGCATATTAGGCAATAGTTTTTATTTCTTGTAATGTACATGTCTTGTTTTGGTATCAGGGTTATGTTGGCCTTAATAAAACCAGTAAAATGTCTTCCGCTTCAATTTTCTGTAACAGTTGTGTGATATGGATATTTTTCTTTCTTAACATTTGATAGAATTCACCAGTAAAATCACCTAGGACTGGAGTTTTCTTGGTAAGAAGATACTCAAATGTGAATTCATTTTCATTAACATATATAAGAATGTTCCAATTTTCTATTTCTTCTTGTGTTGCTTTTAATAATTTGTGTTTTTCAAGGAATTTATCTATTTATCCAAGTTGTCAAATTTGTTTATAATATTGCCTTTTATATCCTCATGTGGGTAATTTGTGTTTTCTTTTATTTTCCCTTGACCAATATTGGGAAAGTTTTGTTAATTTTACTTATTTTTTTTCCAAAAAACCAAATACTCATTTTGAATTTAATTTGTTGTTTATTTCACTGATATCTGCTCTTATCTTTACTTAATTTATTTCTTTTAATTTGTTTTTCTTTACCTACTTTCTTAAAGTAGAAGCTAAGATCATCGATTTTAAACCTTTCTTTTTCTAATTTTAGCGTTTATACTATCTCTAATCACTGCTTTAACTGTATCCCACAAAATTTTGAAGCATTTAAAATTGAAACATAAATTACACAAAATGAAACATCTTTTTGAAGCTGATCTCTTCCCCCTGGCCCCCAATACCTGGCAACCAGTGATCTTATCTTTCTCACTATAGTTTTGCCTTTCCAGAAAGCCATATAAATGAAATCCTATGGAATTTGCCCTTTGTTTTGGCTTCTTGGGTGTGGCATCATGTCTCGGAGATCACACGTGAGTTGCTGTAGGGTCAGTAGCATTCCACTGTGCAAGAACGTGTACTGCAACTGGCTTATATGTTTACCAGGTGTTGGACACGTGGGTTATTTCCAATGTGGGGAAATCATGAGTAAAGCCACTAGACACAGTTGCAAATAGTTTTCACTTATTTTGGATAAATACTTAGATGTAGGCTTGCTGAGTTGTATGATAAGCCCGTATTTAGCTTTACAAGATACTTCTAAACTGTTTCCCATAGTGGTTGCCTCGTTTTGCATTCCCCCTGGGATGCAGGGGGTTTCTTCCACGTCATTGCCAGCACTTGATATAGTCAGTATTTCTAAATTTTAACCATCCTGGTAGATTTGTGATGGTACCTCCCTGTGGTTTTTAACTTTTGTTTCACGGAAGACTAATGACATTGAATATCTTTCTCTGTGTTAATTTACCAATTGGTATCTTTTTGGTAAAGGGCTCAAATCTTTCACCCATTTTCAAAACAGTGTTGTTCATTATCTTATTGAGTTGCAGGAGTTCTTTATATATTTTGGGTCTATTTCTGGACTCCATTTTGTCCAACTAATCAATGTTTCTCCCGACACCAGCCCACTGTCTCAATTACTGCAGCATTACAGAAGTCTTGAAATTAGAGTATGCCTTCCAGCCTTCTTCTGTTTCAAAATCATTTTGACTTTTCCAGGTCCTTTGCATTTCCATATAAACTTTAAAATCAATTTCTTTTTTAAAAAAGTGCTGGAATTTTTGGGGGGATTACATTAAATCTATCAGTCAATTTGAGGACAGTCAGCATTTTAATAATAGTCTTGTAATCCGTGAGCACATTTTAGTTCTCCATTTATTTAGTTCTTCAATTTTTCCTAGTAATATTTAGTAGTTGTCAGTGTTTTATACATATTTGGTTAAATGTATCCCTAAGTATTTCACAATTTTGGTACTATTATAATGATATTTTA